GAAAAGAAAAGAAACAACAACCAAAGGTGGTATGTGATCTTGGTTTCAAAAACAAATGCTGTAAAAGACAATTTAAGGAAATTTGAGATGTGAATATATAGTATTAGATATTATTAGAGATTGAGTGTTATTTTGATGGTGTGATAAAGCTATACACTCATAGCATAAATATCATCATTTTGAGAAGTATGTGCTACAATGTTTAGTTGCATGACCATGATATCCAAAACTTAATTTCAAATGGGTCAACAAAAATACAAACATAAATAAAATGGGTCCAGATATCAACAACTGTTGAATCTAGGTGGCAGATAATTATGATTCTACTCTTAGATTGTCTTTCAAAATGTTCATAATATGAGGGAAAAGTCAGAATTTCAAAATGTACAGATTGGTAGTCCTTCTCTCTAACAAAACTGGTTAAAATGGTCAGGTACAATGGCACACGCCTGTAATTCTAGCATTTTGGGAAGCCAATGCGGGTGGATCACTTGAGGCCAGGAGTTCAAGACCAGTCTGGCCAACATGGTGAAACCCCGTCTCTACTAAAAATACAGAAAAAATTAGCTGGGCGAGGTGGTGGGTACCTGTAATCCCAGCTACGCAGGAGGCTGAGGCAGGAGGGTAGCTTGAACCCAAGAGGTGGGGGCTGCAGTGAGCCGAGATCACAGCACTGCACTCCAGGCTAGGCAATAGAGCAAGACTCTGTCTCAAAAAAATAAATAAAATTAAAAAATAAAAATTTCTATATCTGATATATAGGTATAATCACTCTAAAGAAAAACCTTCACATTTGCCTCAAAAGCTTTGAAAATGTGTTTTCCCTTCAACAGATCAGGGAAATTCTAAGCAAGGAATTAAAAGAGAAAAAGGCAACTCTTTAAGACTAACGTATGTTGTTGAGTAAAAATAGGTGGCCAGCCCTCCTACCAGACACCGGAGGCCGGAGAGGAGCTGCCATAGATGGCTCTGCCTGCTCCAGAAGGCACTGTTCACGTGGAAGAGCCATCAGTAAATTCATTACTATAATTTGTGGAGCTCCTTGCTAACTTCCACTCTCCAGCAAAAGGATAAACCACATTTTGGTAGTAAAACCAACTGGTTCCTGCAATCAGGCAAATGGTTTCCAGCAGAATTTACAAGGTTCATCCTAGCACAACGCCTGAGGCTTCGGGTGACACTCTTGTGCTGAGGGCAGGACCTCTGTCAACCAGCTCAGATACAAGCAGGCCCAGGACAGCATCTGACTAAGTGAAAACTGTCGTTCCTGGGGAAAGAACTAGAAACATCCAACTGAAGGATGAGGGCTCAGCAGGTTCATCTTGATCAAAAACCGCTTCTCTCAGCATTACATAAAAACCAAAGGCTGACCTGAGATTTAGAGAAAATCGATTGATCTCTATTTCTTTCCCCGCTTCCACACAAAAAATAAGTTTCTCTGATCTTCAAACTCAAACAACAGTGTCTTAACTTCTTAATATAAAATGGGATTCTAAATTCCCAAAGAATTACCAATCCAATGTACTATAATACCACAGTGTTTAAGCATCAGACACAGTTATTTTATTTCTACAGTTTGTTTATTTCAATAGTTTGTTTACTTTATTTCTACAGTTCCACCCAATAAAAAAAGACACATTATTTATTAAAGTTCCTTGTCACCTTAAGAGCTCTGTCCATACTAAAATGAGGAAGACACAACTTTCCAACCTTCACGTACAGAAATATAACTCGCTAGTAATTCAAGAAATTAAAAAATTAAAATAATATATCCTTTTCCATGTAGCAATTATTAAATTTAAAACAAAAGCAATGCTCTTTGCTAGCAAAGATGAAGTCAAATCTGGAACTCCACAGGAGTCAGTGCTATGAGTCACATGGCGGTGTAACAGCTTTGGAAAGCAGTCTGACCATATGTGCCTCAGCCATAAAAAAACTTATGCTCGTCTCAAAACCACTCGAAGAATATAAGCTTTAGTGTTGTGACTTTAAAGGCCGACAAAAACATGAAAAATGGACAGAACTTAACAGGCTGGCATCTTAATACTTTTAAGTATTCTGGAGGAACAGGGCAAGTTTTTCGGAAAGGAAGCTGATGTTAACAGACTGGCAGAATCCCACCAGGTGGTGGTGTTTTCCTTTGCTCAGATCAGAGGAAGGAGCGCGAAGGGAAGTCAGCAGCCAAGCAGTCCAGGGAGACTAAGAAAGGAGGTACAGTAGAGGGGCTGGGGGAGGCCCCAGAAAGGAACCCCTACTCATCAGAGACAATTTCATTATTGCCTTAGTGTCTTTAGCCCCTACGAATGGTTTAGGTTTTAATATTTTAGTGTTTAGCTTCAAAATAATCTACATATTTGGCATTTAGAGGTGTTGGCAGTATTTAAGAAAATGGCCAATTAATCTTAGATTCTGACCTTGATTGCAATTTACGTGTAATTAAGTTACTAATTATAGACATTTCTTTTTTAGTTAAAAAGTACCAGAGAGAAATTTACTAAGATGGTGAATACTCCCTCATGTATTCGAGTTTACAGATTGCAAACTTCTTAGCACTCTGGGAACACAGAACTGACAGGAACCAGGTAGTGTCCCCAGGTCTGAGAGCAAAGTCTGAGAACTTGAGATGCACTATGTAAATACTTTTTTTTGTTTTTTGTTTTTGTTTTGAGACAGAGTCTCATTTTGTCGCCCAGACTGGAGTATAGTAGCATGATCTCAGCTCACTGCAACCTCCGCCTCCTGGGCTCAAGTGATTCTCCTGCCTCAACCTCCCGAGTAGCTGGGGTTACTGGCACTCACCACCATGCCTGGCTAATTTTTGTGGGTGTTTTTTTGTTTGTTTGTTTCAGACAGTCTCACTCTGTTCCCCACACTGGAGTGCAACGGTATGATCTCGGCTCACTGCAACCTCCACCTCCTGGGTTCAAGCAATTCTCCTGCCTCAGCTTCCCTAGTAGCTGGGATTACAGGCGCCTGCCACTACGCCCAGCTAATTTTTGTGTTTTTAGAAGATATGGGGTTTCACCATGCTGGCCGGGCTGGTCTTGAACTCCTGACCTGGTGACCCGCCTGCCTTGGCCTCCCAAAGTGCTGGGATTACGGGTGTGAGCCACCACGCCCGCCCTAATTTTTGTGTTTTTAGTAGAGCCAGGGTTTTGTCATATTGGCCAGGCTGGTCTCAAACTCCTGACCTAAAGTGATCCGCTCGCCTCAGTCTCCCAAAGTGCTAGGATGACAGGCGTGAGCCACTGCTCCTGGCCAATAATCTTAAAGCATCAGATTTACTTAAGAAGGTTTTTAGGGCCTGGGCGCGGTGGCTCACGCCTGTAATTCCCAGCACTTTGGGAGACCAAGGCAGGTGGATCACTTGAGGTCAGGAGTTCGAGACCAGCCTGGCCAACATGGTGAAACTCCGTCTCTACTAAAAATACAAAAACTGGCTGGGTGCAGTGGCTCACGCCTGTAATCCCAGCACTTTGGGAAGCTGAGGTGGGCGGATCACAAGGTCAGGAGTTAGAGACCAACGTGGCCAAGGTGGTGAAACCCTGTCTCTACTAAAAAAAAAAAAATACAAAAATCAGCAGGGGATGGTGGTTTGGGTCTGTAATCTCAGCTACTTAGGAGGCTGAGGCAAGAGAATTGCTTCAACCCTGGAGGCGGAGGCTGCAGTGAGCTGAGATTGCGTCACTGCACTCCAGCCTAGGCAACAGAGCAAGACTCCGTCTCAATAAAAAAAAAAATTTAAAAAAAAAGATATATTTGGTCTGATCAATTTAAGTTGTTCAAAGACTGTCTTAAAGGTGAAAGTTAAAACTTACTAAATTTGGCTGGGCACGGTGGCTCACACATGTAATCCAGCATTTTGGGAGGCTGAGGCAGGCAGATCACTTGGGGCCAGGAGTTTGAGACCAGACTGGCCACCACGGTGAGACCCCATTGCTATTAAAATACAAAAATTAGCCAGGTGTGGTATTGTGCCTGTCGTCCCAGCTACTTGGGGGGATGAGGAGGGAGGAAGGCTTGAGCCAGGGAGGCGGAAGTTGCGGTGAGCTGAGATCAGGCCACTGCACACCAGTGCAGGTGACAGAGAAAGGCTCTGCCTCAAAAAAGCTTTTCTAAACTATAAAGAGAATAAAATTAGCAACTTCCACATAAAATAGAGGAAAACCAAGCCTGTAACTCTCTACATTAATAAATGTTGATTTTAAAATAACCTTAAATAATATTTTCTGTGTCAAAGCCTCATTTTAAAGGGCATTAAAAACTTTTAGCAAGAAAATCTAGATGCTAAAGATTTTTCAAATTCACAATAACAAAAAATGGAAACAAAACTACCCATCCATCGACAGGGAACAGGGAAGTCAACTGCACTCATCCATCGTGCGATCACAAGACACGAGGCAGAGTGGGAAAGAGTTTGAGGTCACCGTCCAGTGAGAAGGCAGAGCACGCAACTCTACACATGCTTCACAGAGCCCTTCACTCATTTCACAAATATTTACTGAATGTCTTCTTTATGCCTGGCTGTTCTAACTGCTGAGGATAGAGCAGCAAACAAAGCAATGTCTCTGCTATCAAGAAACAATTTATTTTATTCTGAGACAGGGTCTCACTCTGTCACCCATGCAGGAATGGAGTGGCACATTCATGGCTCACTGTGGCCACAACCTCCCAGGCTCAAGTGATCCTCCCACCTCAGCCTCCTTAGTAGCTAGGACTACAGGCATGTGTCACCAAGCCCAGCTAATTTTTGTATTTTTTACAGAGACAGTGTCTCACTATGTTGCCCAGGCTGGCCTCAAACTCCTGGGCTCAAGCGATCCTCCTGCCTCGGCTTCCCAAAGTGCTGGGATCACAGGCATGAGCCGCCATGCTTGACCAACTTTATAACAACTTTTTATATGTATTTATGGACTCACCTGGGGAAAACAGCCATCATTATAATAACAGATCATCCCCTCTATGAGCACGGGATCTTCTTCATTTACTGAGACCCGTACCTTCGTCCATGATTAAGTCTGATGGTCTTCTTTCTGGAGGTCTTCTTAGATTAATTCCTAAACACTTTATGGGTTTTCTGGTTACTGTCTCAAGAGCAGTTACAGTTTCTGGTGGGTTGCCAGTAGAAGTATCACTGGTTTGTGTAGACTGATCTTGTATCTGGCAACTGTTCTGGATCCTCCTGTGGTTCTAACAGTTTACAGAGATTCCACTGGTTTTCTCAGTAAACGTTATCATCTATAAATCACGCAGATATGGTCGGGCACAGTGGCTCACACCTGTAATCCTAACACTTTGGGAGGCTGAGGCAGGTGGATCACTTGAGGTCCGGAATTTGAAACCAGCCTGGCCAACATAGCGAAACCCCGTTTCTACTAAAAAATACAAAAAAATTAGCCGGGCGTGGAGGCGCATGCCTGCAATTACAGCTACTCGGGAGGCTGAGGCAGGAGAATGGCGTGAATCTGGGAGGTGGAGGTTGCAGTGAGCCAAGATCATGCCACTGCCTTCCAGTCTGGGCGACAGAACAAGACTCTGTCTCAAATAAATAAATAAATAATAAATAATGCAGATATAATCTCAATCAAACTTCCTCAAAAATAAATAAAATAAAATAAAATAAAACAAAACAAAACAAAACTGCTCTCAAATGTAAATGGAGAAATAAAGGTCTGTGAGTAGCTAGGTTACCCTTGAAAGAGCTAAGAGGCCGGATGCAGTGGCTCCCGACTGTAATCCTAGCATGGTGGGAGGATCGTTTGAGTTCAGGAGTTCAAGACCAACCTGGGCAACATAGTGAGACCTTATCTCTACTAAAAATCAAAAAATTTAGCTGGGCGTGGTGGCACGTGTCTATAGTCCCAGCTGCTTGAGAGGCTGAGGCAGGGGGATCACTTGAGTCCAGTAGGTTGAGACTGCAGTGAGCCATGATCATACCACTGTATTCCAGCCTGGGTGACAAAGGGAGACACTGCTTTACCTTTAAAAAAAAAAAAAAAAAAAAGGCTGGGCGCGGTGGCTCACGCCTGTAATCCCAGCACTTTGAGTGGCTGAGTCGGGCGGATCACCTGAGGTCAGGAGTCTGAAACCAGCCTGGCCAACATGGTGAAACCCCGTGTCTACTAAAAATACAAAAATTAGCCAGGCATGGTGGCGCGCGCCTGTAATCCCAGCTACTCTGCAGGCTGAGGCAGGAGAATCACTTGAACCCAGGAAGCGGAGACTGCAGTGAGCCCAGATTGCACCATTGCACTCCAGCCTGGGCAACAGAACAAGACTCCTTCTCAAAAAGGAAAAAAAAAAGAGTTAACGAATACCAAATTTTAAAATATACTACAAGGCCACAGTAACAGCAAAAAAAAAAAGTGGGTAGCCACACAGGTACGGACCTACAGGCCAAGGGTGCAGGAGAATTAAGGCAGTGGACTTGCCAGGGCTTTTTAAATGCCAAAAATGCATAAAGTTTTAGAATTGTGATGTTTTTACAAAAATCTCTTTGAACACAACCACTTCCACAAACCAAAGGTGCTGGTGGAATAGTCAACAGGAGTGGGGCCGGTCTCGCTTCCTCCCGCCTAACCCCGCAGCAGGGCCGCGTGGAGGCCCGGCACAGCCACTCAAGGTGCCTGGAAGCTTGGCCTGTGAGTCCTGTTGACCAAGGCCATGCAGAGGCGAGACGCACATTCGCTCAGTCAGCGTTTTGAGTGTCAGGAGAAGAATGGGGCTTCGTGAGGGGAGGAAAGGGGCAGTGAGGGCAGACAGAGCCCCATCTACTACACGCCAAGGCCAGTGTGTCTCCCAACTCTCTGGCATTTCTCCCATCGAGACACGAGGTCTTTGTCCCTTCCTCTGCAATCTAGGCTGACCTGAGTGACTCATCTGAGAATAAGAGAACGCAGTGGAAATGATGCTGTGCGACTCCAGGAGAGCTGGGTCAGAAAAGGCGAGGAGGTTTCCATCTTGTTCATAGTGACACTCCCTTCTGGAGCCCTGAGCACCCACGTGAGAAGTCCGACTACCAGGAAGCCCCATGCAGTGAGGAAGCCCCCTCATGATACAAAGAAGCCCCCAACGCTGTGAGGAAGCCACTGTTATGAGAAAGTCCTGAATGCTGTGAGGAAGCCCCCAGTGCTATTCGGGAACCCCCAATACTGTGAGGGAGCCCCCCAGTGATATAAAGGAAGCCCCTCAATGCTTGAGGAAGCCCTCCCCAGTGATATAAAGGAAGCCCCAGTGCTATGAGGAACCCCCCAGTACTGTGATGAGCCCCCAGGGCTGTGAGAGACTCCCCAGTGCTGAGGGACCCCCAGTGCTGTGAGGAACCCCCAGTGCTGTGAGGAACCCCCAGTGCTGTGAGGAACCACCCAGTGCTGTGAGGAACCCCCAGTGCTGTGAGGGACCCCCCAGTGCTGTGAGGAACCCTCAGTGCTGTGAGGGACCCCCAGTGCTGTGAGGAGAGGAGCCCCCAGTGCTGTGAGGAGCCCCCAGTGCTGTGAGGAGCCCCCAGTGCTGTGAGGGACCCCCAGTGCTGTGAGGGACCCCCCAGTGCTGTGAGGGACCCCCAGTGCTGTGAGGAGAGGAACCCCCAGTGCTGTGAGGAGAGGAACCCCCAGTGTTGTGAGGGACCCCCCAGTGCGTCCACTCACAGCACTGGGGTCCCACTCACAGCACTGGGGGTTCCTCACAGCACTGGGGGGGTTCACTCACAGCACTGGGGCACTCCGACTGGGGCTCACGCCTTGGGCGCCCTCACAGCACTGTGGGGGGTTCCTCACAATGGGGGGTCCTCACAGCACTGGGGGTTTCTCACAGCACGTGGAGGGTTCCTCAAAACAGTCACTGGGGGTTTCCTCACAGCACTGGGGTCCCTCACAGCACTGGGTTCCCTCATAGCACTGGAAGGTCCTCACAGCACTGGGGGGGTCACTTCACAGCATTGGGGGTTTCCTACCAGCACTGGGGGGGTCACCACAAGCACTGGGGGTTCCTCACAGCACTGGGGGGGTCACTCACAGCACTGGGGGGTTCCCACAGCACTGGGAGGTTCCTCACACACTGGGGTTCCTCAACAACTGGGGTCCCTCACAGCACATGCGGGGTTCCTCATAGCACTGGAAGGTTCCCTCACAGCACTGGGGGGGTCACTCACAGCATTGGGGGTTCCTCACAGCACTGGGGGGGTCACTCACAGCACTGGGGTCCTCACAGCACTGGGGGTCACTCAGCACTAAGCACTGGGGGGTCAAACACTGGTTCTCTCACCACACTGGGGTTCCTCTCCTCACAGCACTGGGGGGGTTCCACCTCACAGCACTGGGGTAACTCCATAGCCCACGTCCTCACAGCACTGGGGGTCACTCACAGCATTAGGGAGTCCTCACAACACTGGGGGTTCCTCACAGCACTGGGGGTTCCTTCTCCTCACAGCACTGGGGGTTCCTCAA